TATAAAATACAGGAAACGTGCAACTAGTTGGGAAAATTTATGGTGTTCAGAAAAATCTTATGATGGTAATTATTTATACAGTCCTAACAGTCCTTATATTTTTACATCCGTTCTTCCATTTAATGTTGTGTGATGTGATAAATAGGTATTAAAGGATTCATCATACCAAAATATATAAATGGATCATTTAATATGAATTGGATTGTTGATAGAAATTTTGATGGGGGTTGGAATACATTTTATGAAGGCACTTCATGGGAGTATAGTATGGATGTACCTTTTGGTATGTATTTTTAAGGATTCTTTTATTTCGATTGAATAGTGCTAATTGATTATGTATTTTATAACAATTAAGACGTAAAAAGATTGATCGAATTATCAGGAGGTCCGAAACATTTTGAAAATAGACTTGACAAAACATTCTCAGATCATACTTTTCTGGGGAAGTCTCTGTAATAATAGAATTATTGGATGCGAAGCAGCCAATAACGGGAATGATTTGAAAAATATTCTATTATCCAGTCGTGAAATTTAATGTGTCAGCTTCTAGGCTCCGAAGGGGCCCAGAAATGACATATTAAATTCGCTGTCAGAAAAACAAGTTATTGGCTACGTAGTATTCAATAACGGTATTATCCATGGTTCTACCGACATCCAAACTCTCGACAGGCCATAATACTGACATCACGCGAAGTGACAATTAAAATTTAAAGTCTGACAATGGTTGTTAATGTGATTACTAATCTTTAAATATTAATTATCACGTCGGGATTATGGTTTTTAGATTTTGGATGTCGGGATTTTGTGGAGAAACATTATTCAGGTAGTTACGACGACTGAAGCCTCGAGTTATTTTGGTGATGATTGCGTCATTATCAAATAACTAAGTTATTTGATAATGATGCAATAATTATCAAAATAACTCGAATTATTATAATTATATAAGTATTAAATTTAAATTTGAAATTACCTGAATGTGTCCCACTATTGATTATATATAAAAAAAAAAAAATAAGCATCTTATAAATTATTTTGAAGAAATAATACAAAGATAAAGCATACCAAAGTGTAAAAATCTTCATAATATGGTATAAGATTTCCCTTTTTATCGAACGACTGCCAATCTGGATTCTCACCAGTTCTGGGTAAACAACAGTAATAAACAAATTTTATTCGTCATCAATGAAGATATTGATTAATAAAAATACCCACACACCTATCACTTGGAATAATCATTGTCCTATATAAACTACTATAAAAAGTTTCTGTAACATTTATAGATCCACCACTAACTTGAATCCTTCCCAATTCTTTATTCCAAGCATTAACGGCTTCTTCTCTTGTCTTATCAAAATCCCAACCTGGTACTTCACTTTCAGCATTTTCACAAGCTTGATCATCTGAAATGAATGAGATACCAACTCTGGAAACGATTACAGGGTTTTTAATAG